TAGCAAAAAAGTTTTATGTGTATTCAAGAAGTCATTCTGTTTCTGAATGTCCAAATCTCATGGCTTCTGTGTCTGTCTCTGGGGTCTAATACTGCATTTACTAAGGCTTAATTTAAAGAGATTTAACTTTTATTGTCAGAGTTGATCTGATCATGAAATCCCATGTTAGCCAGTCCTTCTCTCAAACATAATCCAGCTTGTTTTTTCTGCTTTTCAAAAACCATTTTCAGTTTATAAGCGTCTTTGGTTTTGTGCTCATTTACATGAAATCTTAATAACAGTAATACAGGCAAGTCTTCTGTTACTGATAAAAGCCAAACTTGTCTGCAACGCTTTTGAAAAAAGTTATTCAAGAGGGGGGCTTTTCTTTAAATGATACTCCAGTGATTTTCAAGAACCTTACCCAAGACATTTTCCAGGATTTAACATTATCATGTGGCACAGTGTGCGTATCCTAAATATGCAGCCAAGGGAAAGAACCAGGGGATGCAGAACTGCCATCATTTGAGTACTTTTCATTTCAATACATGTTAACACAGCTCTTCAGAAAATGACTGTTAGCACTAGGTTATTTTATGCGAGCACTTACTTAATACCTGTATATTAAACAAAGTAAGCATAATGTGAACAAAAGAACACCTGCTATAGGGAAATAAATGTCTTGCCAAGAGGGAAAAGAAAGTTGTTAGCTCTTAATCCTGCAAGTTTTTCAGTGTGAAGTAAAGGGCCGATGATCAGCTTGTCAGACTACTGATAACATGCAGCTGTTAGCAGTCATTTTCTAAAGAGTCGGCTGTATCTGCCTGCCCCAGCTCAGCATCTGACCCACAGGATTTAGAAGCTTGGAAACTATGAAGTGATAATATTATTAAAAATGCTACATATGAAAGTAGCGGTACAGGACGAGACAGGTCAGGTCTTTCCAAGAGTTTTACTTCTGACAGAAAATTTTCTTTTGACTTTCCAGGCTTAGTAAGTAAACATCAGGAAGTTTGTTTTTCACGGGGAGCTCTCAAAGCAGTCGTAGGGTCATAAGAAAAAGCAGCCTAGAAGTAGTCACACTTCATTAGCAGTTCCAGTTCAGTACAAACCTGCTGCTTGTTCCAGCAGCCCGGCACAGCTCGCTGCTCCTGTCATTTGTAAATCAGGAGCACTGGCAAGGCAGAGTTAGCCCTCCATACTAGTGACCAGAGCTCACAGGACGAGGGTAGCCCTTATCAAAGTGGCCGAGCTGGCTAGTTTGCAGCAGCAGCCACAGCAAATGACACAAGGATGCAGGGGACACTTGGGTCCCAGTGGAAAGTTGCACTTCTCTGGTCCTTCTCCACTCTTCCCAGCTGCTTCTGTGGTGTCCACGCCCGTTGGGAATATCTTTCACTACACATAGGAAAGATTCAGTGAGAACTTGGAGCATGTGTTTTATCTGGTTCATTAACCTGATCAAACATGTCTGCCCTGTTCTAGGAGATGTAAGAACATGACTTGTAGTGCTTGGAGTAACGGAGATGCATCAATCTACAGCAGCTGAGGCTGTGGTCATTACAAGCACAGAGTGATTATGTGCAATACGTGCAAATAGAGGAAACGTGTTAAACAACTACATTTACATGGCTGGTGTTTGTTAATGGTTCAGACCCAAATCAGCCTGGGTTGCCCAGAAAGTTAAATATGAGGCTTCAGTTATATGGCCTTTCATGTGAACTGAAGAACCTTGGATACAACTCCAAATTTCAGTTACTTTTGAGTTAAGCATTTAATTTCAGGAGGCATTACTTTAGAGCCTTTAGCCTTAAATTCTGGTCTGAATGCAAAACCATGCCTGTATTTTGGACCTATCCTTGGGTTTGGATCCTCTCCAATTCCTTCCAGTCCTCACATGATAGAGGCATCTACATCAAACTTAGCAATATAAGGTGTTTTTCTAAAGAAAGTAGAAAACCACACCACACCATCCTTCCAAGAACCCCTCATTTGTACCTGACTTTTGCCATGTGGGAATCAGGAGGGGTAAATTTGTTGCAGGCCATGATTCCAGTGAGTGTGCTCTTGTTATTAGTGAAAACTCTTACGTTTGCACCCAGAAGCGTGTTCATGCTTTCCAGTAACATCATAAACCAGGTGCTAGAGATAATACAGTAGAGGAAATACCAGTGACTTGACAGATGGTGTGTTTAACAATCCACCACTGAAATTATTCACACTTGACTTTGAAATGGAAATGTATCACGGTAAAAAAGCCTGTATTCCACATTCTTCCCTTCTACTGGCTACCAGACATTTTATTTCACATTGGTGTGAGATCCTGTAACATGAAGGTATTTCCTGGGGAAAGTAAGTGAGTATAAATGGCACAGAGAAGCTTTGCAAAAAAAAAATCTGCGACATCACAGATGTCTGGCTATAAGAGAACTGCTGAGATTTTTATGTGAGGAAAACAAATTCCTTAGAAAGACAAAGAATACAGATTATATGGTCACTGGGTGTAAAAAAAAAGTCTCTTTTCCTTGATGATGGGATGATCAAGTTTGTGTTTGGCTACAGTTGTGATTTCCAGGTTTGTTTTAACGTAATAAACTCATGATACTTCTGAAAACGGCAGCTTCTTTCTGCCCCCATCTACAGCTGCTTGTTCAGGCTGGCTTGTTTGTCTGAGGCTCTGTGCATACGTGGCAAGACAGCTGAAGGACCAAAATGCAGCTTTTGATGAAGTTACTATTCAGCTGAATGAATTCCCTGGTCAATGATGTGAGCAGAACATCAGCATCAATCCAGGCAGGAGGGAGAGCCAGGCCGCCTCTGTTGGCAAGTGCACATGTTGTTGACTGTAAGTGACTGCAATCATAGCTCGGACAGACTTATGCTGCCTCTTCCCCAGCTGAAACCTCTTCTTATCTCAGGGACCAGCTGAAGAGATAAAAGGCTAACTAACACTTGGGTACCAAAGGGAGAGCTGCAAGCCCTGAGAAACACAATTTAGGGATCATTTTTAATCTATTGTGGTTTTCAGATATGGTTATTTTGAAACTGCGGTGGGAAAGGGGCATTATATACTCAGTAGTTTGTATCATCATCATAAAATAAATATTTATACTGATGACAAGTATTCAATTTATTAGTTTTCCTTACAGAGTTGCCCCACTTGATCTATTGCATGGTGGTTCTATCCTGATCCCCAGTAGAGGATGGCTTAAAACCCAGCACAAGAGTTTTTACTGGTTTTGCAGCACTTCACATCACAGTAAATACTACAGGCTTGAGCATTCTCTGGCATCACATCTCTGTTACTCAGGTTTTTAGCCTCAGCTGCTGTAATTTCCCATCCAAACACGGGAAATGATTGATTTAGTCTGCAAGAAAAAGAATGTTCCGCTTCACCGTTAGGAAAACTTACCGAGTAAAGAGGTGGTGAAATGCTGCAACAGAGCCTCTGGCAGGCTGGGCATATCCTGTGGAGGTCCTTAAGAACAGGCTGGGCAAACGTGGGCAAATAATACATCAGAGCTTGCCTCACGGAGGCATTTGGACTGGGTGACCTTCCAAGGTGCCTTCGTGCTCTCTGCCTGCCAGTAACAGCCTGTAGGATACTTCTGCTGTGCCCCATGTGTAACTCTGACCATCTGCCGTGTGGAAGTAGGAGCAGGGGGAAAGGGCAGGAAAGGTTTTCCTGTTACCTGACAGGTGGGTAAGTGCTTCTGATAACATATGGGGAGGAGGGAGCAGCATCCTCCCAAGGGGGGAGCACCAAGAGGCAGCCAGAGGTGCTTCTGGGCTGAATGCTTCTCCAGCCAGGGAGCTGTCATCCCGCTCTGGATGGACAGTGAAGCAGGGCTAGGTCCGTAACAGTGTGAGAGCAGAAGGTGATCTGGAGGAAGCTTAGAGGTACAAAGAGGGCAGCTGGCGTAGAGTTAAACACTTTTTTAAATCCTCTTTTTCTGGAAGTGCAAACATCATTTCCAGAATATTGACACACAGCTGTAGTAATGTGCAAGTTACAGACATGCCCAGCAATTACTTGCAGTATAAGCAGGAAAAGCGGGTAAAGAACAAACCAACAAATACATCCCTACCACAATAAGCAGCGTGGCTGCATGCTCCAGTACATGCACTCCCTGTGTACTTACACTTTTCCTGGGAAAAAAAAAAAGCAACTTTATCAGCTTTTACTCTCTGTGCTAAAAACAATGGCTGCAGGTCAGCCAGGATCTGTATGACTTGAGACCATATATCACATCTTCATTCTGCGTCCAACTACAACCAGAGAGGAATGATAGAACATGGACTTTATTGGTGCAAGCTGTACTTATGTAACAACACAGGCCATTAGCGAGCAAAAAGAAAGGGTAAGACAACAGAAAATAGAGGCTATACTGCTGAAGCTTTGGGACAGTGCTTTACTGCAAAATGTAGCAGGGAAGGGCAGAAAGTTTACCTCAGTGCGGGCATGCAAAGGTTACTGTTCTCTGGTTAGACAGAGAGACAGTGCAGGCGAATTAGAGAAGGAAATACTGGTTCTGCTTTCAGGAGGAAGGCACCTTTAAAACCCCCTTATAGTCCTACTAGGGAGCAAAAACTATTGCAGAAATAATAGTACAATGTAACTTTTCAAACGTGATGTCAGCGCTTCAACAGTAATACTGTTAACAAGGATTTCTACCAATTTTTTTAAGAAGTAAAGGCAGATCAAAAGTTTGGAAATGCCCAATTATCCTTCTTAATGCCCTGTTTACCCATTCAGTCCAAAATGCAAAACTGACTCTGCTGCAGCTCCTGAATCGAAACGTTAGAAAGCCGGTCACTTCATACTTCAGTGTGCACTGCAGGACCTGATCAGTTCTACAAGGTGTCTGTGGTTTTTATTTTCCTTTACAAATAAGAAGGCAGACAGCAACAGCGACAGCTATTTTTCCTGGCAAAGAAAAAAAACATTATATAAATGTTTATGGTCAAATCACATAATAATAATGTTTTCCAGATGAATATATCTCTTTTTAGAGATACTGATGAATCTTTATTATTTGCTTCCCTATAGAATTTCCTATGATCCCACGAGATACCCTAAATACATCCCTGAAGCGTATTGTCTGTGCAAGGGCTGCCTCATGGGGATCTTTGGCGAGGAGAATTTCCACTTCCGCAGCACCCCTGTGTACATGCCGACAGTGATCCTCCGCCGCACCTCCTCCTGCGCGGGGGGCCGCTACGTCTACACAGAGGATTATGTCACTATCCCAGTGGGCTGCACTTGTGTACCTGAGCAAGAGAAGGAGGCCGAAAGCGTAAATTCCAGCATAGACAAGCAAGAAATGAAGCTGCTGGTAAGCCAGAACAAGCCGTCATCAGAATGAAGAATATATAAAGTGTCACATTACAGTAGTGGCCTCACATCATTTCACCACCTCTGGAAACTGCACCACAGCAGCAAACACATTGACTCACCTTCTTTTTCTACTTACAGTTATAAGATGGAAAGTTTTGTCCAGTCACATCATTAGAGATGACAATTCATATTAAGAACTTCTTTAGTTCATGTAAGTATTTGTTGCAAATTTCAGAGTGTTTTGGTTTGTTTTTCTTAGAGCTGAACACTTGCAGTTTATCCTTGCTTATTCGCAGTATGTTTTAGAATATGATGCAACAGTAAGACATGCTTGCTATTATTATAGCAGACTACTGGTTGTACATACTTTTAAAAAATCTCTTTTACTCTACTTCTGAATACTCTCATATAAAGATCACATAGCTGCCATACACGTGCCAGCTCAGGCAGTGAAAGGAATCATTTCTTATGCTGGGAGAGCCTTCCTTTATGTTGCATATCTCAACTCCAAGCAGTGTTCTTGGCTGTTCTATCTTTGGCTATTTATACACTGCAGCAAGGAAACCTTTGCTGATTTTGAGTCATTCATGAAACAATATTCTATCAGTTTGCTACTTTTAAACTTGCCAAATTGCTAAGGGTACAAAAGCATGCTAGAATCTCATAAAACTGCAGTGGACTTTCTGGATGTGGACTAAGTCTCATTACACAGAAAACATTAATTAGAAAAAACACAGTTTGGGTCCCAAAGACTCTGTATTAGATTTAATTCATCATTAACTGCCTGTTTCTTGTGACAGAACTGTATTCTGAACCCAGGGCAACAGCTGAAAAGCCAAAACCTATTCCATGTTAGGAGATTCCCCATTTAAAAAAATAAATTGGAAGGATTAGGCTTCATCTCGGGTCCACTGCAGATGAGAGAACAGGCTAGGTCTTGACTTGGAATGCTACAGAAGTCATTGAGGTGACTCCCAGCCAATCCAAACTCGTTAAATCCACGTGATTGATACAATCAGTGTTGCTCAGTTTTCCCTCTGCTACACATAATAGACAATCACCTACAGATGATGCTAGTCTGCAGCAGAGCAGTCTTCCATCCTTGCAGCTTGCAGGAACTTGATGGCAAGCCCTAACCAGAACCCCTAGATACACAAAAACTTGCATTTCCGGATCAAGAGACTGAAGGTTGGCTCAGCCTAGTGCTGGAGGATCAGGAATAACCAACCGGGCGTACCTTGCACGAACAGAACTCCTCGGAGGTCCATATTCATCAAAGTTGATAGATCTCGGAATACACAGCAGAGAATGTCTTTTACAGTTGAAGGATCATGACTGCAATATCATTACAAAAAACAGCAAACACCATATGCAGCAATGTATCTGCTACACCAAGAATCTCAAAATTGGGCTTAATGCATAGCAGCTAAAGTCCCTACATAAACACAGTCTCCTTTGGAGTGTTACTGGATGAAGAATGGAAAGACTATGAGCTAACAAGAAATAACAAGTATATGAGAATGAAAATCATATGATAACTTGTCTTGGTGCCTTATTATTGATTGTGCTTTTTATGACTCTGTCTAGTACAACAGTATTTTTATAGTGCAATCTGTATAGCTTCTTACAAAGCCTAAAACAACTTTAAGAACTCCAGAATCCAATAAAAGATTCCCATCACAATGTCAGATTGAAGTTTATAACAGCGTTTCTTCTGCAAATGCTTTTCCACAGTTCTCCTTGTCTTTAGATCTGTGTTTCCTCAAATTGTGATGCTTCTATCTCAAGGGTCTCCTGAAAGGAGAGCTCAAAGAAGGTCATAAAGTGTTTATACTGCTCAGAGAACAGCTAATTGCCTGGCTGCTGCCAGCAGTTACAGGTAGTTACCTGGTCCCTGGAGAATATAAATACTTGTAGCAATTACATCCACTTTCCCTTCCTTCTAACGTGGAAGAACTTCTCAGCCTCTGAAGAGAGGGAAATGGTAATCAAGGACAGAGGGGCTCAGAGGGAAAGCAGACCCACAGACCTGGAGAGACACTGCAAGAGATGAGGCTTGCTTCAGCAGTCTGACCTTAGGGGTTCACTGCTGTGGGTTTTTTCTCTACACACACTCTTCAGATAGGGTAAAGTTGGACCTTCACAGCATAGAAAGCAAAGTCTTCACAGTAAAAAAACCTCCAAACAACAACAAAAAAGCCAAAGCACACAGCCCTTAACATGTAGTAAATACGCAGAAGGGCTACCAGCTGCAGCTCTGGCTAAGCACCGTCCTGTCCTCTAGCAAAACACATCTGTCTGCCCACACACTTCCCTTATACAAATGTCTGCAACAAATGAGTTACCCGAGCACATGGACTCATTTGTATGATGTGGAGAAAACAAAATCTCACTTTCTGTGGCAACTCTTGTCCTGCAGGCATAAATTATGGAGTCATTTTGAGGTTTTCCAAGTAACCAGAGCATGTTCTGGGAATTCCTGAGAGTTGCAGGCTAAGATCAGGTACATGGCACATAATAGGTTTTGCACATCCAGAAAAACAGATGCTTTAGTTTACATATAACTTCGGGAGCTGGATGACTGAAAGGAAAGTACTAGAGAACTACAAAACCTCAGTGGATCAATAGATTATGTTGGCGACCTCCTTTTTGTTGTACTGCAACAAATGCAGAAAACTTCCCGTGGTTACAAGCAGCCTCATGTTCTCTTACTCAGAAGCGCATTTTCCTTTTCTAATTCTTGCCCTCTTCTGTGGCAGACTCTTTAGCTGAGCTAATTTGCTTCCTGCTTTCCAGTTAGGTGTCTCTTAAAGTCTGTGTTTGTGTTCTAGCCTGAGCAACTGTTTGATAATAATTTGTTGGTGAACAACTGCTTGTTAATACTTAACATCAAGAACTATTAGCTACACAAACATTTGTTAACCTTCAAAATACCCCTCCAGATTTAAACCCTCCCCCATTACTCATGTGGAAAAGGTTGAGTATCAAATGTAGTTTGCTTTTGTTTGGATTTATTTATTTTTTTTTTAAGGGATCATCACATCATGGATTTATATCAGTTTCACTTCAACTGTGGTGTGACATTTTCCAGCTTCTAGTCCTCTGGTTACAGCTGCTGCAGCCTTGCCTTTAATTTGCATGGGGGGGAGGGAGGGTTCACTGGAGTTGCTTCAAGGCTTCACAAACTGTTGACAGAAGGCAGACATGAAATGCCTCATTGAACCAACTCCAGGCCCAATAAATGCAAACAATTCAAAGCTGAAACTATCTGGCAGCTGCAGCTGATTTGAGAAATTTTTTGTTGTGCCAGGAAAATCCTTTCCTTCAATGAGGTTGTCCCTGGAATACATTAGGAGACACAAAATACAGAACAATATCCTTGCTAAAGAGATTATTTTCTTCTCTGTAGTATCACTTAAGATAGGTTGGAAAATTCTTGTTATTTAGGAAGCCTGAGAAAAGCCTGAGATGTTAGTTTTGGTTTACCAGCCAGTCATTACGTGAAGGTGTTTGTCTGAACAGGCAGAAGTCTACAGCTGCAAGTAAACATGAAATTGCATGGAAGAACATTAAAGCAGCAAGGGGAAAAGGGAACATGGCTATGGTGTGCTCAGAAAGTATGGACACTCATTAATCTCACTGGGATTAGGGAGCAGCCACAGCTAACCTGGACTAGGGCACATGAGGGAGATCTAGTCAATCCTACATGTTTTGCTGAGTTGTGCCATGAGATACCACTTGGTTTTGTTGTGCTTCCATGAGGGGGCTGCAGACCATGAGCAGACCTAGAGCAGCAGCAGAGCTTTGGCACTGCTGAGGAGGGGCTCCTGCAACCTAAACCTCAAACCTGGCTGACCTGTTTCCCACCTGCCTGTGTGGCACTGGGTATGTGCCATGCAGGGAGCCAATGGAGAGTTACAAGACTGACAATCTGTGATACCTCCCACTTGCTCTGGTATAGAGGGGTATGGACAGAGGGGTGAGGACAATTGTGTGGTACAGAGATGGGCTAACTGTGCACCATGGAGCTGAGAGTAACACTGGTTCTATAAGGAAGCACAGATCAGACATCAGTGGAAGCAGTACCTTGGACTTCACGCAACACCAGCTCCAGAGACGTTTTCATTTGTAATCTGGGGTGGGGTGCAGGCAGCTGCAGTACGCTCTGTTCCACTTACAGATGTCATCGTGTGCACAAGACCCCAGGTTTCCTCTGCCAAGTGTCATATTCACAGCAACGGTAAGGCATCAAGATGTCCTGCTGCTGCACGGTGCCCATTACTGCAGCCAAGAGTCTGCACATGCAACTCTGCAGTCAAAAATGCCAGTGGAAAACCAGCATGGTGGTAACACTTCCCCACAGCCTGTTCCTACAGAGGGTACATCCAGGAGACACCCACAATAAAGCAAGCCAAGCACTACTTGACACTGAAGGTTTGTTTTCATAATTCTATTACAGAAGAGAAGATTTTGCTGTCACATATTTCTTACAGTTACTGCAATGGCATAAAGTACAAACTCACTACACATTTGTGTGACTTGCAGCCTTCCCAGAAACACAGCTGCTTCCTTGGAAACAGGCATGGCAAAAAGAGTTTACTTCCTATCACTGATGAAAGCTGTGAATGGCACCAGTCAAGCCGTGATTGGGCAGCTGCCGGCACTCACCCAGGCTGTTTAAGCAGGAAGCTGGTGGACAACAGGCTGCTCTGTTGAGTGCATCTACACAGATTTACATGTACCCTCATTTTCATAAGTGTGCATCTGCACAGTGCCTCTTTTCAAAGCTGTCTGACCTACATGTGAGAAGAAGCAGTTGTTTTCTTGGTGAACTGAAATGCTTGGTACAACTGAGTGGTGTACTTTTATTTGTTTACAAAGGGTCTCTGATGCAGTTAGCAAAGCTATCTTTCAGTTCTGATGCAGAGCCCAATGCACGTTTACCAAAATGAAGCAACTGAAGCAATTAAAGCAGCAACATATGTGAAGCTCGTATTTGAACAGCACATTCTAATTTAGGTGTGTGTCAGGGGAAGAATATCATCCCTTCTGGCAATCGTACCTGTCCCACTTGAAGCCCCTACATAGTTAAAAATATAGTTTCAGAAGTTACTTCATTGTCTCCATCTGCTTGGTGTGCAAGACATTAAGGTAATAAACATAAAACAGGTTATGACTGTGAAGGATAGATTTGTGCCAATAGCTATGCATTTAACATTCTGGTTTGCTTTATTTTGAAGCTGTCTAAGTAAAAGTAATGGTGTAGCCTCCTGGAAAACACCTAAACCCAGCTGTACATCACCTGTGGACAGTCATTTGGGGGGGGGGTTCTGGCTTTATGTGGCTCAGCAGCAAGGATGGGTGCTGGTCTGAAAAGCAAAACCATCGGCTGTGGGCTCTCAGAGACTGACAGGAGAGCCTGGTCTCCGTTCTCCCTCTGAGCATTTCCCCTGCAGCACCTTTCCCATTTTAACAATACCTGTCACTAGCCTGACAGAAACCAAGGCCCATTAAAGAGAAAGGAGACTGGTATCATGGAACTCAGGAGCACCGTATGGGGGAAAGAGGTCAGGAAGCATCAGGTATAAAATGTGAGGAGGGGAAAAGTAAACATCTCTTAGAAAATGGGGAAGACAGCAGTGGTGGCTTGGATGGGAATTTATGAACCAGTGTTGTCTCCAGCTCAGAAAGCATGATTCTCTGAACACTGACAGAGGACTATATCCCATCTATGTTATTCCTGCTCATTTATTTACTCCATCAGACAGGAAAATCTGCATCTAAACAGCAGAAAAGCACAGAAACATGGGTATTACCTCTGGCTCCTTAAAAGTCTTGTCTCACAAGCTCAATTAGGTTTATACCCACCACAAAATAGATTTCTTAATACTTAATTTTAGGTGATTTATTTTGTAGATGCAGCATTTCTGTAGTCTTTTACACAATGCCAATAGATAACTATGATATACAAAGCCAAGTACTTATGTTTTGTATAGTATATTTATAGCTGATAAAACTGTTTAGGGCCTTGGAATTTATGAACCAGCTTTCACCCGAAAATACATTAGAAGTGTAGTCAACAGGTTAGCCAAAACTGGCTTTAAAAATCCCCAGTTACCAAAAATCTCTACTATCCCAAAGCACAGCTTTTCTAATGTATCATCTATTTTGACTGAAATTGATCGAAATACAGCCCAAACCTTGGGCAATATAAAATTTAACATTTCTCTACTAGGAAGAG